CCACTGCCCCCGCGCCCTCTCCCGGCCACCGCCAGTGCTGCCAGGCCCGCGGGTGGCTCAGTGCTGTGGTCCCCTGGAGGCCCGGAGTGAGTGGTCTCCGTGGCCAGGGAGGTCCAGGCCCCGAGCGCCCATCCAGCACCTCACAGCCTGGGCTGCAGGCAGGACCCTGGTTCCGCTCCTGGCGGTGGCTCCGATGTGCGGTGCTGTGAGGGGGCTGCTGGTGACCCATCTGGCCGTGGAAGGCAGGCGGTTCTGGCCCCTGGCGAGCAAGCTGGTGTACCAGCCTCCTGCTCCGTGCACGCCCAGCGGTGGTGCTGGGTCGGGGCCCCGGTCCGTGACGCGGTCCTTCCTCTGATGTCTGCCTTCTTGGACCAGGACGTCTGGGCAGCCTAGAGGTGGCAGAGCCCTAGACTCCTAGGCTGGTCTCCTCCCTGAGTAGGGGATCGGGTGGCAGCAAAGCCCCTTGAGGCTCCCGGTGGGGCCTCCTTCCCGGCGGCGTGTGCTGGGGGAACGGCACCTCTCTCTCCGCGTCCACCTGTGTGGTCCTGGGGCAGCCTCGAGGTCACGTCTGGGCGGACAGCGAGCCCCCAGCCTACGCCCTGACGGCTGCTTTTGCCTTCAGGTCCCCCCACTATGCCTGCCCCGAGGTGATCCGGGTGAGTAGTCACTACGCGCCCCTGTCCCTGCCTGTCCACGGGGCCTTACCCCCCGCCCTCGCGGACCCCAGACCCTCCACCTGGGTCCCTCATTCTCCACGAAGCCAACCACACTGCCCCCCGCAGGGAGAAAAGTACGACGGGCGCAAGGCGGACGTGTGGAGTTGCGGGGTGATCCTGTTCGCCTTGCTGGTGGTGAGCCCCGCGCCGTCCACACCCTGCTCCGCCCTCTCCCGTCTGCCTCTCCTCCCCGCCCGTCCCTCGTCCCTCGTCCCTCGTCCCTCGTCCCTCACCCGTCCATCTCTGTGCCGCCCCTCTGTGCCGCCCCTCCCGCCCAGTCCCCCGCCCCACGGTGACCCCGTCCCCGGCCGGCAGGGGGCGCTGCCCTTCGACGATGACAACCTGCGGCAGCTGCTGGAGAAGGTGAAGCGGGGAGTGTTCCACATGCCGCACTTCATCCCGCCGGACTGCCAGAGCCTGCTGCGCGGTATGATCGAAGTGGATGCGGCGCGGCGCCTCACGGTGCGTGCGGGCGCACAGAGGGTCAGAGGGTGCGGGTCTACACTTCCAGGCCAGGCTTAAGGGCCCCCAGGGGTAGAGGTTCCCTCTCCATGCCACCTCCCTGGGAAGGGAGACTTGTGCCTGCGAGTGTGGTACAGGGACCCCTGGGTGTGCGGGCTATATACAGGTGTGAGTGAATGCACAGCTAGGTGTGTGCACAGGTGTGTGCATGTGTGCGCGCGCACAGGTATGAATGTGCATATGTGTGAGTGCATGCAGTTGTTTGCACGTTTCATAAGTGTGACTGCAAGTGCATGAGTGCAGGCACAGTAGTGTGCATATACACGTGTACACAGGTATGTGCACTCACGCACGAGAACCGTTCATAAGTGTGTGTGCCCCTGCATGGGTACAGTTTGTGTGTGCACATGCATGAGTGTCTGCACAACTGTATTTCACAGGTTGTGCACATGTGTGCATGTACACAGATGCACAGGCAGTATTCACATGTGTGAGCATGTGCCCAGGTGTGAATGTGCATGGATATGTGCGTATGTGCACAGGGGCCTCCTGCTGGCTGTGTCCTGCAGGTGTGCCTGGGAGACCAGCGTTCACCAACTCTAGCACCGTCCCTCAGCTTCCAGACCAGCCCTGACAGTGGACACAGCTCATCATGACACTGACCATGGGGGGTGGATGTTCTGAGGGAAGTCCCACTTCTGAAAGAAGCCCATAGGCAGCCAGGGCTTAGCTGGTACCAGGAGATTAGATCCCCAGGGCAAGGGCAGCAGGACGCCCTTGGACTGGTCTTTCCAGGACAGGGGTGGCCTGGTGACCAAGAGGCCATCTCCCAACCGCCCCAACCCAGCTGTCCCCAGGCTGGTGGAGAGGCACTTGGAGAGCGGGCCTCTGAGCCCCCTGCTCTCACCTGCACCCCAGCCCCTCCCCGCAAGTGGGCCACCCCTGGCTGCCTTCTGCTCTCCTCCCTCAGGCCTCTGTCTCTGAGTCACCAGGGGCCCCCTGCCTCCTACCCATACCTGCAGCCCCCACCATCCTTTCCCCAGACTGGCATTTCCTCTTCCACTGGGGAGGCAGGGTCAGGGGGCTAGTCTGGAGCTTCTGGGAACGCGCAGCCCCTCCCCATTTTCCTCCATCCCCACCCTCTCCCTTCTCCTCCCCCCACCTTCCCTCCACGCCCTCACCCTGCCCTCCCTTCATCCTTCTCCCCTCCCCATGCCCTCCCCCATCATCCCTCCTCCACTCCCTCCCCTCTTCCTGCTGGCTATCTTCCTCCATGATGGTCCTCTCCACCCCCTCCCAGGTGCTCCCAGCTCCTGCTCCCTCTGGCCTCCTAACGTGGGCTCCCTGCTCCCTCCATACTAACTTCCTGTTTCTCTCTCTTGTAGCTAGAGCACATTCAGAAACACATATGGTATATGTAAGTAGCTTTTCCTCCCACTCATCGCCTGCTTTGCCTGTCGCTGCAGCCGGAGGGCCTGCTAGGGAAGGCGGGGGGAGGACCCAGCCCAGCGCAGGCCTGCCCCCAGCCTCAGCCCAGCGGTCAGGGACTCCCGGCATGCCTGCGCTGGGCACAGCAGCGTGCAGGAGGTGTGCAGGGGCTGGGACAGGGAGAGAGCAGCAGGACTCAGGGTCCCCAGGAAGGGCTGGGGGGAAGAAGCCTTAGGCCTGCCGAGGTCAGTGACCGCTGGTGGTGCCCTGTTGTCCACAGAGGGGGCAAGAACGAGCCTGAGCCAGAGCAGCCCATCCCCCGAAAGGTGCAGATCCGCTCCCTGCCCAGCCTGGAGGACATTGACCCCGATGTGCTAGACAGCATGCACTCGCTGGGCTGCTTCCGAGACCGCAACAAGCTGCTGCAGGACCTGCTGTCTGAGGAGTATGTCCCATGTGGGGCCCTGCAGGCAGCAGCGGGGGATGGTGGGCTGTGGGAGGGAATGCTGTGTCCCTAGGACCACCCACCGTCTGGCAGTGGACACCATGCTTGCTGACCCTTCTCGCCCCCACCCCTGCCCCCAACAGGGAAAACCAGGAGAAGATGATCTATTTCCTCCTCCTAGACCGGAAAGAAAGGTATCCCAGCCACGAGGATGAGGACCTGCCCCCCAGGAACGAAATAGGTACAAAGTCCCAGGGAAGCCTGGCCCCACACCAGCCCTGCCAGATGCAGCAGGCTGCCCGGCCTGACCCCTGTCTGCACACAGACCCTCCCCG